CTCAAGTGGCTCTATTACAGTAGCTCAAGCTAGCCAAAAAAACAATGGTGATAGTTTACGATGTGCACAGTCTTCTTTGCAATTAACGTAAAAAGATATACTGGAGCTGGAGCCACCAAACTGCCACTGTATGAAGTAGTTTATCAATTACATTAAATTTAATTGGTTTTTTTTCTTTTCTGGGGGTGGGGGGTGGGGGGAGAAGTTAAAACTACGCTATAATTATCCTAAGCGTTTCTCAGAAATATTGACACCGCTAATGTGCCGGCAACCACCATGAGTCCACAAACTAAATAACTCTCTCACACTATCTACGATGAAAAGGATCCAGTATTAGAGGAACAAGCCATGCACATAAGAATATATCAGTGCCTGAAACTTAGATACTATGAGATGCATTATGTAATATCATGCAAGACGACTCGGGACTTCCTAGCACTAAAGCAATAAGATAGGGTGTGCATAATGTGATTATATATCAACAAACCTCCACCTTTTGTATTACTCATGGTCAAAGCTTTTTTGTACTTTTGTTCTGATTAAGAAGGCATGCTGGTGGCAACCATGTAATGTCGGTAACAGACAGACTGATTGTTGAGAGCAGATGTAGGAAAATATAATATTTGAAATATAAGGGCAGAATATTACCGAAATACCAGCAGGAGGATCACGATACCCAGTGAGAAGAGCAAATACATAGTTCTGACCATTGTGACGAGCCTGCGAAAGGAAAAGTGAAGCAAAAGAATTATACTTGCCAATTCCTGTAGGTCAGACAAGAAGACAAGCAACCAGATTTCATGGCTGTAGTGTTACCTTGGTTATCAGGCTTAGATCTGGAGGATATGCCCCACCATTTGCAAACCTCGCAGCTTGTTCATTTGCATATGGCTGAGGAAACCGATCACTTAATTTACCAGGACGCGTGAACATCTCACCTTCATCGTTAGGACCATCGACCACTTCGATTTCAGCAGCCATAGCCTTAGTCTCTTCTTCAGTGTATGCAACACCAACAAGATCTCTATAAGAGATCAGAGACATGGAATGGCAAGAAGCACAAACTTGCTGGTAAACTTGGTGACCACGACGAATCCTGCACACATCAGTTAGAATTATAACTTGAAGTTTCAGGTGAGTTGCATATTTAAAACATTTGTAGCACTAATCAATGTTTGTGCATTACTCTTCAATGAAAACAATAGTTCTTTTATTAATTGGTAATATCTTTATACTCTATGAGCATGCAATAACAGACGGAACAATATCTAAACAAACTAATTTAACATTTAGCAGAGCTTTATGACACACAGCTGAAGTTGTCCACCTAGATCCCCGAATATGTTAACTCCACCCAATAAATATAATTGTCACTAAAGGTGACAGTTTTATACTCACGACGCATGATCATATGAACTAAGAATGCCTTTATGAGGCCAAGGATAGCTGGGGCATGCTAGACCATGCTCTGCTTCATCAGCAGATGCTATGGTAGAGAAACTTAAGATTCCAGAAACACCAACTCCAAGAAGTGCTAACGCTCTTAGAGACTTGACACCAGCAGATGCAGAAGCCTCCTGTTCCTGCTTCAAGAGAAATGATGCCTGCATGTCAAAACAAAATATATTAGTTCACAACCAACATAATTTACTTTAAAAAAAAAGTGAGTGGGCAGTTGCTGCTGGAAAAAAGGGCACTATAAGAGATGATTCGATCGCCTTCCATATATTCATAATTTAATGAACACAAAAGGCTAAACCAAATACAATCTCTTAAAAATAGTCATGTTCACCATACGATCATTAAGAATCCAGTCCCTAGTTAGAACATGCGAACCAACATAATCTGTTAATTCACTTTCAAATTATTTTGTTCAGGTAGATATTCATTAGTTAAATAGAAACTTTTTAGCATTGCTTTTATATTTTGCTATGTACTTTTGATCATGCTAAATAATGTAAATATGTATAATCATACTGCTTCTTTTGACATTCTCATTATCTTATGTACTTTCTTATGTTGCGCAAAGAGCTTTCTGAAGCTGAACTAAGCCACAGCCAACCATGCTCTAATAAACAAACCAGACAAATGCAGACAATCAATATATTAAATCAATATCACCATTGGTCTTGAAGCATGCCTCCAGAACAAAACCAAGGAAAAGATTACCCACATAAAATTTGTACCAA